GGAAAACGAACGAACATTTTGTCTAAAGACTTTTGCAACAGAGGTTAAATAGAAATACATTTTTGTCCTAATATGCGTCAATCAATATTTCTTTCTTTTTTTATGCACTTATCATTTGCTGATATTTCTATATTAAACTATTGGCTAAATAATCATTTATCGACATCATCACGATTCCTTCAAGTTAATAGAATTTCTGCACGATTGTTTACTTTATTAAAATAATATACGAATCATCATCGTGACCATTATAATATGAAATATATCAATAAAAATTTGTCATATTTCTGTCAGTAAAAGAACATATTTGTTTTTGCTTATCTAGTTTATTTTATGATGATTCAGCAATTTGTATTTATCAAATACTTCACAAAGTTTATATAAGTTATTATACAATGTTCTCATTGGACTATTGAGAAAAATAGAAGAAAAAACATTGGTTCGTGTTATGGACCGACGAGCATTGTTTGTTTGCTTTCTCTCTCTAATATATATATATATAGTCTTTCATTGATGTGTCACATGAACATTAACAGTGAACATTGCTATGACTGTGACCAGATTAGAGCATCTTCCAAATGAACTGTGGTTCGAACTTTTCATCTATTTCACATGGTCGGAACTGGAATCAAGTTGGATTCATTGGAAACTCAATAGTCGCATTCAAATATTAGCTGAAATAGCACAAAATCGAGTTGCTTTGTCACTCTCGTCGATGTCATTTACAACATACGATCAATGTTTACATTATTTCGAACATGAACATCCAATTAAAGCTTGTCGTATAACTTCTCTTTTGCTCAATGAATCTATTGTATCGAATGAAATTATTAATCGATGGCTTGAAAATGAAAAATCTTTTCTTTCACGTATTCGAAAATGTAGAATCTATATAGATCTGATCAATAGATATGTTCGAACAAATATTATTCTACTTATTCGTCGACATACATTGACCATACGTCATATTGTATTTTATTTTAACGGACTCCACAGATATAGTGTGATATTGAAATACTTCATCGAACAATGCATATCTGTACATACAATGGAATTTATTGTTATTAAAGGTAATTTTTGTGATGAATACGGATATAAAATCTAAGTGTTTACTATATTTGCATTTCATCCATTTTCAAATAGATAATATTATATCACATCGTCTTAAGTAGAATCGATATTCTAAGTTATAAAGACTTGATTTAAGATAAAGCTTTGAAAATCGCGAATATTTACATTATTATCAAATATTTGTAAGTAAATTGAATTTAACTTGAGATTCTTAGATCAACAAAGTATTTAATAGAAACATTATAAGAATGACCGTTTGAAAACAGAAAGAAAATTAAATAGAAAGTTTTTCGAACGAAATTTAATCAAGAAGTAAATCCATCTATCAAGTATATGATATGCATGAATAGTTGTGCGACTTTTTTTCACGAATTTCGACCAAAGTCTATGTTTTGGTTTGTCTGAGTATTAAGAGTATAAAATATGAAGTGCAAAATGAAATGTTCACATGAATATACGTGCCATTTACAGTTGATCTTGATTTGATTCTAGATGATATGAATTACTCATGGTCGAGTTCTTTAAAGGCGGATGCCACTTGTCGTGATCAATTTCTTTCATTTCCAAACACAGTTAATTTACGACTCTCATTACAGCATATATCTGATTTGGTATTGTTACTACAATACGATACTTTACCATGTATAAAACATCTTCATGTTACATTGGAAAAGACAGTAAAAAGTATGCATCAATTGTACAATCGATATGAAAATCCGTCTTGTCCCATATTATGTTTGAAAGATCTCAATCTCAGTCAAACTAGTTTACCACATTTACGTTCATTACAGTTACGACAAGTGCCCATTAGAAATGTCATCATACTAATGAAACATTTGAGGGCTACGAATCAAATTGAATTATTGATTTTGGTGAATTGTAATGTTGAAGGTATGTTTTACTATTGATGGAATAGCTGGATTGTCAAGAAGAACTATGATTGATAAAATTGCTATTTGTTTTTATATATAGATAAGAACGAACTTATTACATTTAAAGACTGCATTAAAACTATTATGATTCATTTGCGTCGTCTTCATTTTATACTCTATTTACCTGTTCAGACAAGACTTGATGATATTGATCTTTATTGGTTTAACTTAGATCATCATACTGTTGAGTACGAAATAAATGAAGTGATATTTCTTTATACAATTCCATATTTATTAAATAGTCAACGACGAGTGTATAATAATAGTGTTGCACAACAATCGACAATTAATAATAATATCACACATATTGAATGGATCATTGATCATGATCTTTTATCCATTGCCAAAACTCTTCTTCGTTTCGAACATGTTAAATCACTTCATCTGTTTTTTAATATGACAGTAAATATTCAATATGAATTTATCCAGATTTTATATCGAAATATTTCGTTTAGGAAATGAAATTAAATCCAGATTCTTGGCATATGATACTTCCGTTTTTACGTTCTCTTCGAGTTAATTTTCAACGGAATCCTATG